CTAATCTAAATCTAATCTAAATCTAATCTAAATCTAATCTAAATCTAATCTAAATCTAATCTAAATCTAATCTGAATCTAATCTAAATCTAATCTAAATCTAATCTAAATCTAATCTAAATCTAATCTAAATCTAATCTAAATCTTATCTAAATCTAATCTAAATCTAATCTAAATCTAATCTAAATCTAATCTAAATCTAATCTAAATCTAATCTAAATCTTATCTTAATCTAATCTAAATCTAATCTAAATCTAATCTAAATCTAATCTAAATCTAATCTAAATCTAATCTAAATCTAATCCAAATCTAATCCAAATCTAATCTAAATCTAATTTAAATCTAATCCAAATCTAATCCAAATCTAATCTAAATCTAATCTAAATCGAATCTAAATCTAATCTAAATCTAATCTAAATCTAATCTAAATCTAATCTAAATCTAATCTTAATCCAATCTTAATCAAATCTTAATCAAAGTTGCATCTTAATCTAATCTAAAAAACTACACTAAACTAATATATCAATAATTTAAATGTTATTTAAATCTAATCTAAAACCAATCGAAGTATAAACACATCTGAATTAAAATGTAATCAAAATCTTATCACAATCTTATCTAAATCTAAGCTAAATCTAATCTTAATCTAATCTAAATCTAATCAAAATCTAATCTAAATCTAATCTAAATCCAACCTAAATCTAATCTAAATCCAACCAAAATCTTATCAAAACCTAACCTTGACGGCACTGGTGGTTAAGTGGTATGCTTTCTCATCCCAGTGTGTCTGGGTTCAATCTCAGTCGAGATTTTTGGGATTTTTCTGAAGCGAAAAAATATTCGGTGTGGAAGGAAAACCGTTGGCCCTGGCCCATGTGTTGATGGGATCGATATAATCCAGGTATAGGATTAGTCTCGCTGGCACTCGATTGCCATCAGTGATTAATCATCAATGAAATACCATAAGCTGCCAGTTTTGATCTCACAACAACTGACAGCATGGTACCACCTTCATATAAATGACGAATCGCACAAACTCGACCGTCTTCTATTTGCATAACTGTTTGTTATGGGAAATGATTCAAATTTTTTGCAGAAATTCGTCCAATTTGGATCTTGCAAAATTGTCAAAATGGCCTCTTTGAAATTTATCAAAAAATTGAAGCACGGAGTTGTTGAGAAATATAATGTTTGTATTAGAACAATATGCAAAAAAATATTTTTAGTAATAGGGAAAATGGATGTTACGTCAGCCTCAATGCCCCTAATTTGGGCCATACATAAATTCAACCATCGACTAAATTTTCAATAGCGACCAAAAATATCCATTAGTAGCGTCCCAATGACGCGTTAATCTAGATGAAATTGATAAATAGCAGATTTTAAGCGATGGGCCCAATCTTAGATCCATAGGCCAACATTAGAGACATTTTCATTACCTACTAAAAATAAAAAAAATAAAAATTTAAAATCCTAAATATCGGAAAATGTCCTTGTTTGATTTTGATTTTGTTTGTTTAGAGCTCATAAAAAATGCAAACTTTTGGAGTGTTTAAAAATATGGACACTTAAAAATTAACTGACGTAGATCAAGATCTTTTGGTAAATTGTTTAAATTTTGTGTTGGTACCCTTTTTTTGCTTTTTTTTTCTCAGAAAGTGATGAAAAATTTAACAATTATTGCTTTCAAGAATCAATTCCATAATTTCAAAAGTTTGCATTTTTCAAAAGCTCTTAAAAAATTAAATTAAATAAAACTAAAAACCATTAATCGGGTAAAAACATTGTTAAATGCTTAAGTTTAAAGTTTTTTTTTATTTTCCTTAAAAAATAAAATATATGTGTCCCAGGTATTTCTCTACAAATTTGTCTTAGACATCATTTCGATTAGAAATGCCGTTTTGGTGTTGGAAAAATTTCAAAGACGATATTTTGAAAAAATTAACAAGATCCAAAATGGCCGAATTTTAGCAAAATTGTGAATCACTGCCAATTTCAACAATTACGCAAAGTTTAATGCAAAACGAAGATGATTGATTCAAAAATATATGTTTTTTTGATATTTTGCCTGCACACTTAGAAAAATTCATGTAAGATTGAAGATTTCTACATTTTTACAAGAACATCGAGTTAAGAATTTTTGGATGGCCAGTTCTGTTTAAATTAAGGCTATTAAGTGATTCAAATGATTCGTTTTTGAAAAGGATTCTAATTTTGTTAAAATCGTCATTCCCGGTTTTGTGCATACAAAATAAATCACCATATTTTTTACTTTGCTATCAACATATGTTGATAAAATCAATCATGCTGGTAATCAATTGGTAATCGCCACTCTTTGGTGAATGGCGCTCGGTTGCGAAACAGAGACCGTCGTTAAATAAAAAAAAAATTGAAATCTAATCTAAATCTAATCAAAACCTAATCAGAATCTAATCTTAATCTAATAAAAGTCTGTTTTAAATCTTATCCAAATCTTATCTAAATCTAAGTTAAAACTAATTCAACCCTACATCTTATCTTAATCGAACTAAAATCTATTTAAAACTTAATTTAAATCTTACCAAAAACTACTCTAGATATTATCTTAGTCTAAGCTATATCTGATCGAAATCTGCAAAAAAAAGTTTTCTTATTCTCATCATAATCTAATCTTTATAAAATTAAAATCAAATCTTTATCTTTTCAAACTCTAATCTATATTTAATCTAAATTTAATCTTTAACTAATCTAAATCTTAACTTAATCTAATATTTATCTACTCTCAAACCAATGTAAATCTTTTCTTAATTTAAGCCTTATCGGAATTAAATATAATCTAAATCTTATCTAAGTCTAATCTAAACACAATCTAATCTAGTTAAGAGCTTGCGGTAATCCATTGAAGAGATAATGATCGGGGTAATGATAATGCCACCTACACAGGGTGGAAATTAGTTGTGAAATAGTTTGTATTGGAATAAATAATGCGTAGTGCGGGGAGTTTCTCTCCTTGTAGCTTGGTATGATAGGTCTTAGTTGATGTGAAGGAGTAAGAGATAGGGCCAACGTTGTGCGTGTCTTTGTCTTAATCGGGATTTGCAAAAGGGAAACACTTTTTGCGACATCGGCTTGTGGTTTAATGTCACCGCAACAGAGTTCGAGATTTCGATCGAAAATCATCGATGAACCGTTCCGAGGAGGTGTTATTATATGTGAATGCCTTCATATCTGTCGTTATCTTACTTTTGTTTCATTGTGCGCGTCACCATCGTCGTCGTTACGGATTTGAACGTCGATATCAACCCACATTGAAGATATTCGAAGCGGTCGAAGTGGCTTTGATTTGAGGGGCTCTGTTAACTTATGGAAATCTCCTGCTACATCATAATAGGAAGTTGTGAGGGCGTGTTGATTTGGTATTAAATTTTATAGCTCTGCACTGAGATTGAACGATAGTAACAACAAATTAACCGCAAACTCTACTGTTATTGTCTTATATGTTTTAAAAATATGATTTCGGTGGCCTAGTGGTTACTGTTTATGCATATTGGGAAGAAGATAATGGCTTCAATACCCAGCTCCTTCGTTCTATAGAGTTGTAAGGCAATGCAAACAATGCAATTGGGATCTTCGCTAGCTCAGTCGATAAAGGCACAGCTACAAAGCAGGATAATGCTGGAGGTTGCTGGGTTCGATTCCCGGTCCGGTCTAAGATTTTTTCGAGTTCGAAAATTTCTCGACTTCCCCTGGGCATAGAGTATGATGTACTTGCTACATAATAATACTAAAACAAAAATGGTACCGACATCGAAAGCTCTCAATTAATAACTGTGGAAGTGCATGAAGAACACTAAGTTGAGAGTATACGCAATAGGTTAATATGCGATAAGCAGTAAGCTTGAAATGCGAAGAAGAAGAAGAAGAAGGCAATGCAAACAATCTATCACATCAAATACCATGGTGAATTATGATCTGCTACCTTCCATCAAACGTTTGTTCCCTTCCCCTGGTGGAGATGCAGAGGTATTCTTAGCCTTCCCTTCCCGGGTGATCGCAAGGACTTGGACGGTACTAATTCACCGGATTTTACCCACTGAGACTGAATTGTCAATCCCAAACCCCATTTATTTGGTTCTTTGTGAAAATTTCGATGGATCCGGTCAAACGTGGAGTTGCAACTATGAATTGTACGGTCATCAATCCTCATGCTCATGCTCTACAAAATTGATGCGAGTTTCTAGAAATTGTTTGGAGGAAAATCTAGGACTCGTATTGCAGTTTCAGGTTTTGAAAAGTTTTTCAAATTTCCGGGATCTTGATGAAACAATTCAAATTGAAATTCAGTTGGGGTTGATTTGGCCTACGAGCTTTAAATTTTGAATTATACCGTTCGTTCGAACCGTATTTTTCATGCAAAACATGAACATGGGTGTTTTTTCCCCGTTCTGAGTAATTAATATTTGAAAAGGCCGTATTTTATAGAGAAAAGCGATTTATAAGAGATATATTGTATTTATTTACAAAAGAACTATGACGAAAAAAATTACAATTTTCAGGAACACCCTGTTGCAATTCTGAAAAATTACTCTAAAATTAAAACGTTAAGAGATGGAAAAACTGTTTTTTTTTCACCAAGTTGTTTTGGATTTACCCAGCTTAAATTTTACTGTAAGGATATGTCTTTATTTTAAAAACTAAAAAAGTTAGCATTAGATTACCAATTAGTTTCAGTGCCACCCTAATGTTTAAAACCAGCAACAGAAGAAACTTTTGAAGTACAAAATCTTTACCAAAAACACCAAACGTCTAAATATTACAGCACTTCTAAATATTACAGACTACTATTCCAGCAATTAAATGAAAACGCCCATATTTTTCCTAATTGAAAATAAACATCTAAACGCTCATTCATGTCAGAATTCATCTGACATCTCTTATCAAATCGCTGTGGGTTAAGATGCGTTCACCAATGTCTAGCGTAGTCAACAATCAATCTAAATAACGATTAGATTCTTGGTCGTCTCAGATGAAAGGTACGTTCTGTGTAATTTTTTGTGCTGCTGCTCAAATTACAGCATTTATTGTTGCTATTTTCTAGCGAAAATCATAATCTCTGTATTATTCCTTTGGGAAGCCCATGTCAGTTCGGCAACACATCCGACCTGTCCACCGCAGAATGGACCAGGAGAGGCGATACATCTTCAGCATCCAGCTGACTGTGCAAAGTTTGTGACCTGTGATTGGGGCGTGGAGGTTGTCAGAGATTGTGCACCTGGTACCTTGTGGAATGATGCCGTGAAAACATGCGATCACACGAGAAATGTCAAGTGTAATACAGAAACTACCATTATGCCGACGAGTCCGACGAGATCATTTCGTACAAGGCCTCCAATAGTGAGAACGACGGTTACCTCCACAACTACACCAACGACGCATCAATTGACGAATGGTGGATGCCCCAGCGTTGTGGATCGAAACAATCCGGTTTTCCTGCCTCATTTGGATTGCACAAGATTTTATGTTTGCACGTTGAAAGGCCCGGTGGAGTTCCGTTGTAATGAAGGTTTTCATTGGAGTATTAAAACGAATCACTGTGAGCGTCCTTGGCAAGCTTGGTGCGTTACGAGTGCTACGCCGCCAACGATGAACGATGGTTGTCCAAGCGTCGTTGATCCAAACAATCTGGTTTTTCTGTCGCACCCGGATCGAACCAAGATCTACATCTGCATTCCGGGGATCGGCCGCACAGAGTTGAGTTGTCCCGAGGGTCTTCATTGGAGCACGGATGGATGCATTTCATGGGCAGATAGTAACATGAGTGCTGCTACTCCGGGAACTGCCGCAATTACTGCAATGATCACTTCAACTGCCAGCACGCATGCAGGGGATTATTTCACTACGGATAGCTATAGCTATGTTTGACGTACGTGCTTCAGTAGTAACCGACTGCTTCGTCAACAGTCCAAGTTCTACCGAAAAATGTGTTTAAGTTTAAGACTTAGGATCATCGTTTTGCATTTGAAATTGGTTTCACAGCTTCTTCCGGAATTACACCACTGATATTTGAAAAATAAGGAAATGATCTGTACATCAATTGAAGGTAGACTCAGAACTTCTCACGGAAGACTCTTCGCACACTATTTCAGCATCTCCAAGTGACATTTACTTTCAACTTTATATTTTAAAATTTGCCAACTCGTGACTTCTCACTATCAGCGCAACAACTTTTCGCTGACTAGAACTTCATCCAACTTCATCAGGCGCATACATAAATCTTTTCCATCACGTCTACCAAACAAAAAAAAAAATAAACGCCAAGACCAAACGCACCCTGTGCCTCCGGAGGCACAGAAGAAAATCATAAAAAAAAAAAACAAATACAAAATAGAACTCATTAATTTTTAAGCGTCGCTCTTGGGATAGCCTGCAATTTTGCAAGTCGGTGAAGTATGATAATATGTATGACAGTAGGAGCGGCGGCCTTCAGCTCCAGCTCAGTTCAGTTTAGCTATATAGCAGTGTAGTCAACGAGCGAACGAGTGAGTGAGTGGTGTGATAAGACAGCAGCTAGCAGCGCCATAAATATCATTTATTACCGCTGTGCTTGAATTCGATTCAATTTAATTTAATTTTGCTCAACTGTGGGCGATGGTGGGGTGGGGTGGTGGTGAAAAAATGAATTATAATAGGACGAAAGACGAAGATGTTGCGATGTTTGCTTGAGGAGCGTTTGGGTGTGTGTGTGTGTGTGAGAGAGAGAAAAATAAAAGTAAGGGAATAACAACAATGTTTCGAACAATTTTCGAGCGAACTGTTTTTTGTTCGTTTTTGAGTTGTTTTTAGCTCCGATCCAAAGTAAGTGGGGGTGATTGAGTTTGGAAGGTTTATGTCTGGTGAAGGATTTTTACTGTACTTCCTAGAGAGTTGAGCTTTCGTGCACGTTGGTGTAGCCAGCGATGGCACCAAATAACATAAATAATAAAGTAATGATAAAAAAGTTCCATTATGATTCCAAATTCTGAATATGGTGTCATTTTGTTCGTAACTTATTTCTACAATAGAAACATTCCTTATTATTTTTTTTTATATTAATTTATTTGTACAGGCTCAATCGAATAAATTTTACAGAGCCGAGTTATCATTTGCATTATACATGATTAATGTCTTAAATCTAGAGTTAAAGGAATTGAACCGATTACTCGCGGTCGTCTCGAGGTTAGTGGAGATTTACAATTTTTTGGATGGGGAAAGGGAGAAGGAGGTTTGAAATATGATTTATTATACAAATATTTAATTAATCCTAAAACATGAACTTATTTCTATTCATCTTGAAAACAAACATTAAAAAAAAACTACACGCACAATACACAAACTAAACACAAGGTTAATCAAACTTACAATCTAAGGTTAGTATTCTTAACGTAAACATATATGAGTTTCATAAACTCCAGATCACGTCTAGCCAAAATATCCCGAACTGGAACATTAGGTTGTTTACCTCGAGCCCGAAGGGAATCGCACAGCTCAGATCTGACTCCACGATGCTCAGCACAAGACCAAAGGATGTGATCGGCGTCTTGGTAACCATGTCCACATTCACAGAGATTGCTGTCTCCCAGCCCAACACGAAACAAGTGAGCGTTTAACGAATAGTGATTGGACATGAGGCGAGACATCAGACGAATGAAGTCTCGACCCACATCCAAACCCTTGAACCAAGGACTCTTCGACACGATACGATACGAAGACAACGATACTGTATACGTTCCAGTTTGATGATGTGAGTTTTAGCCGCCGATTGGAAGCAAAAACTACCGTACTCTAAAACCGATAAGATCGTTGTCCGGTACAACGTTAGAAGATCTTGCGGATGAGCTCCCCACCACGTTCCGGTAATTGTTCGGAGAAAATTGATCCTTTGTTGGCATTTTCGTCTCAGATACTCAATGTGGGATCTCCAGGTGCATTTGGAATCGAACCAGACCCCAAGATATTTAAAAGACATGGAATGAGTGATCGGTTTACCCAAAAGTTGAAGCTTCGGTTGTGCTGGGCTATGCTTCCTAGAAAAAACGACCAACTCAGTTTTCTCCGTGGAGAATTCGATACCTAGCTGGATAGCCCAAGTAGACAAATTGTCTAAGGTATCCTGTAAGGGTCCTTGCAGGTTGACCCCTTTGGGCCCTGTCATAGACACTACGCCATCATCTGCAAGTTGTCTCAACGTGCAGTTGTCACTTAGACAATTGTCAATTTCTCTGACATAGAAATTGTACAAAAGGGGGCTTAAACATGAGCCCTGGGGGAGACCCATGTAACTAAATCGAGAAGCTGTAGAGTTTCCATGAGAAAAGCTCATATGTTTCTCTGACAGCAAATTGTACAAAAAGTTATTAATTAATGGGGAAAGGCCACAAGCGTGGAGTTTGTCTGAAAGGACTTCAAGCGATACTGAATCAAAAGCCCCCTTAATATCCAAGAACACAGAAGCCATTTGCTCTATTTTAGCAAAAGCCAACTGAATTTCTGTGGAAAGCAACGCGAGACAGTCGTTCGTTCCCTTACCCCTACGGAAACCAAATTGAGTATCTGAGAGTAGGTGGTTCGTCTCAACCCATTTGTCGAGGCGAAAAAGGATCATTTTCTCCAACCATTTTCGAATGCACGATAACATCGCGATGGGACGATACGAGTTATGATCTGACGCGGGTTTTCCAGGCTTTTTAATGGCTATAACTCTCACTCGCCTCCAATCATCTGGAACAATATTGAACTCCAGGAACTGACAAAACAAGTTCAACATGCGCCTCTTAGCGACGTCTGGGAGGTTCTTCAACAAGTTGAACTTGATCCTATCAGCCCCCGGAGCCGAATTGCGACACGAAAGGAGCGCGAGTGAGAGCTCCAGCATTGAAAAAGGCTGGCTGATCTCGTCTACCGAATTCGTCGTTTCGCGAGGAATCATCTGTGCCGGAACGGAATCAGGACATACTTTTCGCGCGAACTTGAGAATCCACCGATCCGAGTACTCCTCGCTCTCGTTGTTTGAAGACCGGTTACGCATCCTTCGCGCCGTGTTCCAAAGCGTATTCATCGACGTTTCGCGCGATAAACCGTCCACGAATTGCCGCCAGTATCCGCGTTTCTTGGCTTTGATGAGGCTTTTGAGTTCGCGTTCAAGAGTCGAGTATACCCAACCGGTGGATGTAAGATTCGCTTACAATTATGTGGGATTCATCATCAGAGGATGTAAGTGGAGACCGCATGAACCGAGGATGCGATATACCTAGCTGCGGTCCAATGCAAGAAAATTGGAGACCGAAAAATGTAGAGTGTATTAGTGAGGTAAATTTATTGTGTCGAAAAAAAAAAATAGGAAATTGGTTGCCGACTGGGACTCGAACCACGAACGTTGTGATTATCAGACCTGTGCTTTCTCCACTGCTCTCTCTATGCTCCTGAATATGGACAGCCTAAAAGCAAACATGAAGCGCTCATTTTCTCGCATACTCGACTTCGTATGCTTTTTCTGCTGGAGAGATTCGAGGCAAGTGTGTGCGTCGTTCTACAATGTTCTACAATGTGCGTCGTTCTACAAGCTTACTGGTATAGTCGAAAGCGTAGATAGAACACGAAACGAAAAAGACAAAAAACCATTACGGAACTAACATTCATTGTAGAGGCATTCGAGGCAAGTGTGTGCGTCGTTCTACAATGTTCTACAACGTGTGTCGTTCTACAATCTTACTGGTATAGTCAAAATATCCACGCTAACACGAAATAAAAAAAAGACAAAAAACCATTACATCGCTTGCATGGTCAATTCCTAACATTCGTTGCGATGTTCATGAACAGAGGATGATAGGAAACGGAACGAACATTTATTGTAATAGATTTTTGGTTTGCGTGTGGGAATTAAAATCTCCCATAATCAACCGTGGAGTAGGAAGAACTGAACAGATATCTGAAAGTTGTTTTTGACTAATCGAAACTCGGGGAGGAATATACACAGAAGCAATACAAATGCTCTTGCCTTTAACAAACAGCCTGACATGCGACAACTTCAATACCTGGAAATTGTGGAAGATTCACTCTATAGAAGGAATGGCACTTTTTGATCCCCAAAAGTACTCCTCCTCCACGCGACTCCTAACGATCCAGTCGAATAATGTTAAAATCATGAAAAGGAAGATCGATATCTGAAGAGAGCCAAGTTTCACACAGAGCAAATGCATCACAATCATTATTGTGAACCAAAAACTTAAACGATTCTATCTTAGGAATAAGACTTCGACAATTCCACTGTAGAACAGTGATCAAATCCCCGACCTCGTTTGGAAAATTATCCATCGAAGGAGATTCCTTATTATTAACATGCCACAATAGAAACATTCCTTATTAGAACGTATAGCCATCTACTCTAGACTAGACCTGTGCGCCGCCACGCCACGCCGCCGCCGCTGACGATTTTCATACGCCGTCGTCGTCGATGGAATTGAGCCGCAGTAAAATAGTTCACGCCGCCGAATAAATTTATGTCACGCCGATGAAAAGTCCGTAACATCTTTTCGGTAAAATGCATCTTGAACGCGTTTAAATTAGAACTTGTGTACATGCTCATTCGTGGCCACTCAAAAGTGAGTGAAAAACCACTCAATTTTATTAAAACCAGATCTACTCTTAATCGAGTAACATAACCAGAACTGAATTTTGAGTAAAACGGCTAGGTATTTGTTGATGAGTTATTTCTACTCATTCCCAAAAAATCGAAAATATAGGGAAATGAGTCAAAAATGCACAAATGGGAATACATTTTGTTGCTTTTCTTTTGACGTAGGATTAAGTCTTTCGGTAACTTTTTGAGGGTGCAATTTCAAAAAACCAAAATCGACTGCGTTACGAAAAGTGGTCAAATTTTAACCACTTATAGCTCTGTCCATAGCGGATGGATATTAATTCTGAACCAGCCAATCGATTGAAATGTCATATACGAATCTGCTAAAATGAACAGTTTATCAATTCTCAAAAGGTCATTGTTGAAAATTGCACGAATGTGCAACTGTTGCTATGATAATGAAAATTATCACCGATTTGTTGCAAAAGCACTTTCCCTAACACAGATTTAAAAATCAAATTCACTCCGGTCTAACTAAACGGTGTTTATTCAATCACCGCGTGTAGTGAGTCGTGGTTTCCAGGGGTCATCATCATCAGCAGCAGCGGCGTGTGGTGTGGTAGATTGTTCTTCAGTACACGACGAAAGGCTGCCCGTAATGTGGTGTTTACACTTAGGCTAGTTCACTAGCGCTAATGAGCTCGCTGCT